CACACACACACACACATTCATAGACCCTCGCCCCCACACATTCACACCGTGAGTATGCGATGCTTTCATGGCGGGAACAAATATGCTCACAAACTAACTCACCCGCACTCTTGCACACGCATTCACCAACACCCATCACCTACGCCTGCACATTCACAACCTGAGTATTGCACGGTACGGCCAAATTGACAAGAGCTACCCCTCCTAACTCATCCAATTCCCTTCACAAGATGAAACTCATCTCCATGAGTTAGTTAGACCAATCCCCCGAGGTGATAAAACCAACCACTTGCTTCTCGGCGGTTCAGTTCAAGAAACCCGTATGTCACATTTCTCTAAAACGGACTTTTTTTTTTTTTTAGCTTTCCAATGACAGCAGATCTTTCTCCGTCACAAATGTGATTTATCGTGGTGAAATCAGGCGCTTGTCAAAATATTGAAATAAGAGAAAACAGTATGTCAATTTTTACTAAATTTTTCTTTTTCAGCTCAACACCTTTTGTGACCATTAAGAAAGAAATTTTTGGGAGGATTTTATCGACAAAAGTTGATAAAATGTACAAAATGTAAATTGGAAGTTACCAAGCTTTGGCAGCCACTTTCTTCCTAATTTACCTCTGAAACCAGGTCATTCCCACCTCCTTCAATCAAAAATATCTCCACTTCTTTAGAAAAAAGATGGGTAATTTTTTTTTATTGACAGCAAGACAAATGGACATGCTTTAAGATGATAGATCTACCAATAACGCAATGTGCCCCAAAATGGACGAGTACCTGATTCCACCATGTCGTGACACGTTTTTTTCGATATTATGATCGGGCTCTAGAAAAGATATTTTTATAGTCCGATCCTGACATCGACAAGATATAAGATGGGGGGGGGGGGGGAGATTTACGCCCACGGAAAAGCAAAAAAAAAGTCGATTTTTAGATAAATGTTGCTTGAAGTGAACCGTCGTTCTGCAGAAACTAATTGACACCTTCTCACACCCCTCGGCCCTGGAGTTCACGAAAAAGGAGAGTCGGTGAAAGAGCTGATGAGGTCGTTATCACTGTCGTTTTTCTTCAGCATATCAACCGGAAATGATTCCTTTGAAACACGGGCAGTCAAAGCTCTCGAGTGAAGATCCTTTGAATAATGTAAGTAGGGACTCGTGTCATTGAAATAATGCAAAAAGTAAATAAAAAACAATATACATGGTGCTATAAATACGAGTAAATAATTATATATACACAAAAAAGTATGGCTTTCAATCAGTTTCTTTTCTTAATCCACGATAAAGGGATCTTATCGGGCTTAATGTAAGCAGTAGTAGTATGTGAGAGTTGTAAACAAAGTTAAAGCGTTCACTTGGTTGGAGCAAAATTTCTGTACACGCATAGCTCTGGCTTTGGGCCTCTTTTCAAATGAAAGACAAAGTGAAACGTTATAACAGAGACAATATTTGACTCATTTACATAATGAAACATGGCGGTATAAGTTAGTGCGGTGTTTACAAAGAAGAAATGGTGAAGTGCAGGTTTTTCTGAGGCACAGCAAACAATTAAAATAAAAAGCGACACAGAAAAACGTGTGGGCATGTTGCAAAGCCTTTTAGCAACGGGCTTCTGTGTAGGGGTCGCAGAATTTAACGATGTGTGAAACGTTAGAGGGAAACAAATCTTTGAAATGTGGTTAGCACGCTAGGTAGTGAGGCGTAGATTGCATTGATGAAAATCCGACCAGGCATGTCGTGAACACACTGCTCATGTCAGTTGAGCAATTTCGAGGGGGAGGGGGGGGGGAAACGACAAGTTAATATCTCATTAAATGAAGTAACATGCCTCGCGTAAAAGTTCTCAGTAAATAAAAGTTATAAAAACTCAAACAACAAACGTCTCTTCAAAAAAGGAAAGAAAATACATGACCAGGAACTATTAAACTTCAGAGCCAAATGAAGAGCGTATGTTAGCATCGCAGAAATGAAGCATTAAATTATATTTGAAAACAGACCTTTTAAGAATGTAGTTTTTCCTTTGGCCTCTCTTCTGAGGCTTCTGAGGCCAGCTCCCTTCATGCTTCAAAAACAGAATTATCATGCGTCCCTTTGAAATGGTTTTCAGTACAAATTAGGAAAAAGGAGCTCTGGAACGACTGAACGTCTTCTGTAGACTGTTTCTCATCGTGCCTGATCTATATAAAGCATAAAAATATTTTTTCGTTATTTCAGGTTTGAGCTTTTGGAAGCCCATCGCAACAGCGCTTACAGACTTTTTTTGTATTACCTTTTCTTTTTATCATAAGGATTACAAAAAAAAAGCACTAGAACCTGCTCTAACGACCACACATCCAAGACCTGTACAAACAATCTTTTGATTTTTCACTTTTATCCGTGCGTTCGGGAGTCCAAAATGGAGAGGGAAAGGAGCAACAAAAGAGGAGAGGGAAAGGAGCAACAAAAGAGGAGAGGGAAAGGAGCAACAAAAGAGGAGATGGAAAGTTCGCACAGTGAGGGCCTTGACAGAAGAGATGTAAAAATCGCAGAAGTAGTTTGTCGCGGACGCCGACACACGAGATGTATTTACTGCCGGCGCATTCCTACAATAGTTGCATTTTTTCTCACTTCTCGTTCAACACGACAATATTCCTGTCAAGACCAAAGCCACCCTGACTCTCCGATCGTCCATGTTGAACAGAGCAGTAGCGAATGTCGCCTAGTGTGGCTGCTACATAAAAGTAAGCAATACTTTCAGCGCTGAAGTTTCTGCGCGAAAATTGTAGCTCGTTTGTCAATGCCTTCAGAAATACGTGTAGAAGGCGAGCGGTTCAAATGTACTACATCTAAGCTGAACCTTTTGATAATATTTTTTTTTAAACTGTGGTATCGACTTTCAAATTTTTACTGTTGAAAAATACAATAAAAAAAGAATAATTACACTTAGTCTTGGTACGATTGTCAAAAGAATGAAACGTGTTCTCTCTCTCTCTCTCTCTCTCTCTCTCTCTCTCTCTCTCTCTCTTTCTCTCTCTCTCTCTCTCTCTCCCGCTCTATCCCTCTATCTATCTATCTATCTATCTATCTATCTATCTATCTATCTATCTATCTATCTTTCTCTCTTTCTCTCTCTCTCTCTTCAAAGAAAAAACGTTCCCTTTCTAGGCTTTGCTTAGCATATTTAAAGAGCTGGCGTCACTTAATTGCTACTTGCTGTAATGAAGCACGATTATTACTGCCCTCGTAGAAGCGATTGAAATCCCCCTCCCCACCCCTACCTCAACAACACACCCACCCTCACCCCTACCTCAACAACACACCCACCCTCACCCCCACTCCACCCCCACCCCTGCCCCGACACTACCCCCACTTCCACCCTCACCCACCCCCATACCCCTCAGGTATCCCCTCTTATATAGAGCCTTACGTTTTACAGGGTGGCTAGAGAACGACGCCAAAACGTTAGCCAAAACCGTTACTACAAGTGTCTCCTTGTCTAAATACATCAACACTTGGCTACTTTACTGTATCTTCGGACATGTAAAACAGACATACATAATCAGTACTCCATCTTTTGGGGTGGCAAGCACCTCAAGAGTTTACCTGTCGTGAATCAAGGTAATGGATTTCAACAGAATATGAAACGTAACAGCTTTTTGAACGCAAGACGTGCAGACCCAACCTGATAGCTCAGATGTGCCAAGATACCCAGTGAAATCGTCCCCGTTGGTTTTATTTGATGGTTTTATTTTTTTTGTCTCTCAATTCTATTTGCTGGTGTGCTTCATTTGAATGAAAACGGGACATATCGAGTAAGGGAGAAGTAGACATGATGATTATAATATAATATGGAATAAATTGAATTATGATCTCATATGAGATCTTGATGAAAGCCCATATTGACAGATACGAGTAAATGGCAAACCGGTGAACGTATCACAATGTTGCTTTTAGAGCCGAGCGCATGCTACATTTACTATTTCTTTTTGTCCCAACTTGGACATGTTAAGAGAAACTGAAACGGCAAACGTGTTGCTGACGTGTCCTTGTCTATACACGGACGTTTCTGGGGTGAGAGGTGTGGTTTGTGCTTGTTTTACATGAGTAGATAACTCATGTGAGAGAACCTTTCTACATAAAGAATATTTTTATGTGTGCAAGAAGGAAATATATTAATATCGTTAAGCTGATCAAACCAAATTAACCAAGACGTCAGAACTTGTTTAAAAATCCGCAAAGAACGTTAACAGCAAACCAAAGAGGTTCAAAATGAATTTCTTAGAAGGAACAAATTAATACAGCATAGTTTAATAGAATCTCTTTTTTCTTCTATTTTTAAAAACTAAAAGTAGTGAAGGAATCAGCCATCAAATCGCTGCGTTTGTCAAAAGGCGCCACACACACACACACACACACACACACACACACACACACACACACACACACATACACACACACACACACACACAGCGGGAAGAATTGTGAACTCAGATTCGTCCAAAGGCATTCACTTTTCTCCAGCACGTTTTGAGCAGGTTCTGAAGATGAGAGAGAACGACGATTACAGCAGGCAGTTGAGGAAAACAATAACACATGAAAAGAAAGAAACAGAAATATACGTTGACGCTTAAATTCCAAGAGGATAGCTATTGGGTTTCAGGGAGATAGGAATGGCTGCCTTTTTGTTGGAAAAACCGACCTCTTCAAGTCTACCGCTTACCTTCTTCCCACGTTCAGATCCCGGATGTCTGAAATACCAAGACATTTCATTCGTGAAGCTGTTTTCTACAGTTCTAAAGGTTCATGGTTGAGGGAAGAATATCTTTGGTTTATGTTTTGTTTTTGTTGTTAGTAACAAGATCAAGCTTATGACTGTACATCAACAAAGATCGTTTCTCTAGAAAACAGTATTGGAGTTACTTCACAAAATACTTATAAATGCGAAGAGACGTTAGAATGCAAGTAATAAACTCAGTTTTACTGCTCGATAAACAACAACCTGGAAACAAAATCAACTAATTCTCTCTGCCATACAAATCTTTCTCTACATTTAGGTCGATGATGATTAAAGAATTGCCGCTGCTGTCTTGACGAGTCAGTGTGAAGCACAACTCTCCGTGTTTAGTCATGCAGGGTTCCAGAGTACATAGCCTTGGCAAGGCGAGCGTTGATTGGCATATCGACTTCAATCGCCGACTTCTCGCATTCTTTGGGCACATTGAAGTCGTTGGGGTTGACGATTCCCTTGACGGTGTCGTAGAAGAAGGTGAAGGATGTCTTGTTGAAGTTACCCTCTTCGATCATAAACTGGCTGATAGGGTAGCAGGTCTTTAGTGAGAACTCCCCAATCCAGTGTTCACCTGGCGGAAACATTATAAAAATACAATATTATCCGTTTTATGGGTTTTTTTAAAGCAACTGAAAGTACATTTTATAGGAAAGACTTTTTTGACAGCTGCTCTCTAGGTATGGAATAGTAATGATGGTATTGGAAATATTGATAATGAGGATAATAATAATTATTATAATTATTTTCTTTAAACAGAAAAAGGTTAAACCATTAACAATAAAAGAAATAGAATATGAAGAAAATCAAAAATAAAACTTGTTTATTGTGGGGGTTTTTACAACAACGAACTTCTCATCGGTTTTTTCAGTCTTTTTTTTGTTTTAACCCCCCCCCCCCCTTCCATGTATTTAATTAAGAGGGGCGCCTACGTTGACAAAATTGAAAACTGTGCTAAAGACACATAATTTATTTGAATATTAAAATATTAATCTTTATATTGTAACGGCAAATTTGATTCTTCGCCCAGCAACAATTGTGATCAGTAGCCACAGTGATTGTCTTTGTGTGGGTGTTCTTATGAAGGGTGCACAAATATTTTATTTGAAAGAATTATATATAGTATATACATACATACATAATATATATATATATATATATATATATATATATATATATATATATATATATATGTGTGTGTGTGTGTGTATGTGTGTGTGTGTGTGTGTGTGTGTGTGTGTATGTATAGATAGCTAGATAGCTAAATAGATAGATAGATAGATAGGTAGATAGATAGATAGATAGATAGATAGATAGATAGATAGATAGATAGATAGATAGATAGATAGATAGATAGATAGATAGATAGATAGATAGATAGATAGATAGATAGAGGTGGTATGGACAGCATACACGTATGGAACCTCACCTCGCTGCTACTATTCATAATAAACATGGACAAAATTACAAAAGAAGCAAACCCAAACCCGATAGACCGGAATGAGATGCTGTTTGCAGACGATCAAAGAAGAGCAACTTCAAGAGCACACAGACAGGCTGAATACATAATGTGAAAATCTCACATGAATATAAGTAAAAGCAAAACGGAGACAATGAAAATCAGCAGAACATCTGGCAACCTTAACATCACCATCGACGGAAATCCGCTGAAACAAGTCAGCAAGTTCATTTATCTTGGTAGCATTTTTTTCGGAAGACGGACGTCTCAACAGAAAAATTGAGACGAGAGTAAAAAAGGCTAACAGCGTTAGCCACCAGCTTGCCCCACTCCTCAAACATCCAAACATCTCCATTGAGACAAAAGTCAAGCTTATTAACTCTATATTCATCGTAAGATAACCACCTGCAAGATGAGATGTTTAAGGAAAGCCGTCAACAAAACCAGACGGGACTTGATCAGAAACAACAGGGCCAGAGAAATGATGGGAACAACACCTGTGTCCTCCACTACATCCGAAAGCTAACAATCCGGTGGGTTTGGACATCTCACACGTATGGCACTTCACCAGCTAGTCAGTAAAGCCTACTGCAGAAAAGTATCAGGGTACAAGGCACCAGGAAGACATAGAAAGACCTGGATCCAGGTTGTGAAGGATACCCTGAAAACATAAAATGTCCCACCCAGCCAGGCCATCAAATTGCTGAAAACATATAATATCCCACCCAGCCAGGCCATCAAACTTGCTAGAGACAGGGACCTCTTTCTTCCCTCGACGCCCTATAGTATTATTATTATTATTATTTAGAGGGAGGTCATGGGGATATTTGCTTTGAGCACGACACATTTACAAAGGCTTAAACTTAAGAGCAAGTAAGGTGTGTACTTCCTACACCTAATACACCACAACCAGCGACTGTGGCATTACGGTTTAGGCGCTTTGCCGTCGCACGCAAAAGACGCGTGTTCGAATCCAGAGTGCGGAAAAATATTATGGAGTCTGCTGGAACGGTGTATCCCTGTCAGCCCGAGATGGTCTTGACAGGCAGGGTCGAAGCCCGTTTCTTAAATGGTCATGGTTTGTGTTGATGGATGTGTGAAAAGTCAACAATCGCATGTTCAGCGAGGCATCGTTCCTCTTGTGATGTGTGACAAAATTGAAAGGCTGTGCGCACTTTCTTTCTTCGATTCACTGTCTCTGCTCGAACTTGAGCTTTTGCTAATGCAGCAAAATTTATCATGGATCTAAAGAGGCCTTTGAGTGTTCAACATATGGGCACGCGCCCGCTTGAAACAAGTAACGTTTGCGGAAACTGGCGCTTAGCTGAAGCGACGAGACTGCCTGGTTCTTGTGCGTACCCAGATACAAGTGGGCACTTGCGCAAGTCGCCCGTAACATAAACCCTTCTCCTCCCTCTCCAACCTTTATCGTCCTCGGAGAAGAGCGTGGCGTGCGTTGTTTCGACCAAGGCTTATGAATGAGATAGTGTTTCCGAGTCCCGCCGAATGACTAAGACAAGAGAATTGTTATTAGCTGGCCACATACTGGTGGACAAAGTCCCGCCAATTCAAATATTGGCGAAAGGTCAAGGCTTGTCCTACTGCTGGTAGTGTGAGGGGAGAGAGGAAGCGAATCTGGGACAGGCAGATACCAAACGAGTAAACAAAATGATAATCTTACTACGTTTCGAAGTTAGGGTAGGTTGGTTCTGATAAGGGGAGAAGCAAGTTTGTCTATGGAGGTGTCAAGATAATATTATTGTTTCAGTCCCCTTAACTCCGCTGTTGTTTCGAGAGAGGAGGAGAGAGAGAATAGGTGACAAAATTGTAGAAAAGAGGGATACTAGAGAGAGAGAGAGAGAGAGAGAGAGAGAGAGAGAGAGAGAGAGAGAGAAAGAGAGAGAGAGAGAGAGAAGGAGAAAGAGAAACATGAGAGTTGGGGAAGTAATAGTTGGAGAGATCGAGAAAAAAAGGAAAGGGAGGTAAAAGAATAAAGCAAAGAAAGAGAGAGAGAGGAATAACAAGAAATTTGAGAGCTAGAATAATAATTGTGCACATAAGTGTGAAAGGAATTGACAACAGGGAATAGGGGTGGGACGTAGCAAAAATGCGATGGAGTGGGGAAAAAGCCAAATGAAAGAAAGATATAACGAAAGAAAGAAAGAATGCCGGAAGGAAGGAAGAAAGTCAGCAGACCAGGTCGGAAATAAAAACAGAGACAGAAAGGGAGACCTAGAGAGGGAGAGAGAGAGAGAGCGAGAGAGAGAGAGAGAGAGAGAGAGGGAGAGAGAGTAGGGGGAGGGAAGGAGGTTAAGGTAGTATTAAGCACGAAGTGTAAAGTTTAGAGACTTCAAGAAGATAAGCTTTACACATTTAAATTTAAAGTCATGGAGATTTCCGGCGTTCGTAAGAGTAATTACCCTGAAAACTTAATTAAGTATGCAAAAAGGCAAAACAGGTGCTGTAAAATGCAATTTTCGAGTGCTTTCGGTGGCGTTCGGTAGTCTAGTGGTAAGGCTACTGGTCTCGTAATCCGGAGGTAACGGGTTAAAGGGTTCGAGCCTCACGCCGACGTTGGGTCCTTGAGAAAGGCACTTCACACAAATTTTCCTCCCTTCACACTACCACAGACTGTGAAAAAATTTTGTCAGTATATTCTTATTAGTGTAACGCGCCTGTAAAATAGCAGCTTGCACTTCCTATTAGTAGGATCCACAATGCTATCAGGTCTGCTGTTATAAAATAAATATAGATTGTAACGCACATAGAACTCGCTATTGAGCGTGAATTTGTGCCATCCAAATTCTATTTAGTAGTAGTAGTAGTGGTAGTAGTAGCAGTAGCAGTAGCAGTAGCAGTAGCAGTAGTAGCAGTAGTAGTAGTAGTAGCAGCAGCAGCAGCAGAAGCAACAGTAGCAGCATCAGTAGCAGCATCAGTAGTAGTAGTAGCAGCAGTAGTAGTAGTAGTAGTAGTAGTAGTAGTAGTAGTAGTAGTAGTAGTAGTAGTAATAGCAGTAGTAGTAGCACAATAATGCATGTATGTATGTTGCTGTTATTGTTCCTGTAATTGCTACTTTTGTTATTATTTTATGTACTTTGCATCCTCAGAATTATAAGGTTCTATCTGCTCAGTGCCTAGTTTTGAAGAATTTGACATAAAAAAGTTTGAATTTCACATGTTTAGCTTTTTCGAATGAAATTCTTGGAATTTCTGATAACGACTCCGAAAAATCTTGGTAATTTTAATTGAGCAGATAAAACATTTGGTTTCTGATTTATATGGTCTTGGTAACTCAAAACGACCAAAAACGTCATATGTAATCTTGTAATCCTGAGGTAGAGACTTGTTTCTGCGCACTAGCTCACGTGGAATTGTGAGACGGCGTTGTGAAATCAGGCGCTCGTCAAAACAAAGAAATTCAAGAAACCAGAATTTTTCTGTACGTTTTGCAATTTTTAAATAATATTTTGGGGGACTCAATGCGTTTTATATCCATTTAAAAACACACACCTGTAAGGAAGTTACTAGAAATTGTTGATTAAAGGCACAACACCGGTAAATTTACAGTTTAAAATTACTCTCAAACTTTGGAAGTCATAAAAATTTCGCGGTCATTTTCTCCCTAACTTTACTTCTGAAATCAGGTGACCCGATCTCCTTCAATCATAAATATCTCAAGTCCTATTCAAGATAAAAAAAACCCCCCCCCACACACACACAGAAAAACAAGCTTTAAGAGGATACAAATAACTCCACATGCCCCAAAACTGACCAGCGCTTGATTCCACTTGTGTCGTGACATTGGTGGGAAAATGGCGAACTCTCCTCGGCCAAAATTGGTCTCATTGGCGATAGCAAAAGTCGCTCGTCTTCTTAATTCTTTTTTTTTTCTACTTAGCTTCAGAGAATGGTCTTCTTCACTTGCATTAAGCATCACCCTGAGACAACGAGAGAGAAAAGAGAGAGAGAGAGAGAGAGAGGTAGGGGAGAGAGAGAGGAAGAGAAAGGAGGGAGAGAGAGACAGAGAGAAACAGATGACAGAGACAGAGGGTGAGGGAGAGATTGAAACAGAGAGAGCGAAAGAGAGAGAGACAGAGACAGAAGGAGAGGGAGAGAGGGAGAGAGGGAGACAGAAAGAGAGAAAGAGACAGAGACAGAGGCAGAGACAGCGAGAGAGACAAAGAGAGAGACATACACAGAGAGAGAGAGACAGAGACAGAGAGACAGATAGACAGACAGACCGACAGACATACAGACCGACAGAAATACAGACATACAGACAGACATATAGACAGACTGACTGACAAACAGACAGACAGACAGACAGACAGACCGACAGACAGACAGACAGACAGACAGACAGACAGACAGACAGACAGACAGACAGACTGTTCTGTGGCCACTTACGACGAGAACTGATTTTGTCCGACCATCTGTCGATTGTGACTTCCTCGGTGGGTCCTCCAATGGAGAATTCGCCCTCGTAAGTGGCGCCAGAAGGCACCTCGAAGGGCTTGAATGCTCCGACCTTGAACTTCTTGCAATGTTTGCTCTGCAGGTTGAAGTCGTAGCCTACACCTTCTTTGTGAAGGAACAGGAGCTCCCGTTGTCTGAAAGAGTAAAGATTTGTAAATTTAGAACAACAATAGAATAGTGGGAGTTTGGAGGTGCCATTGGTCCTGCTTTTTTACTCTCTCTCTTTTTTTTCTTTTTTTGCACGAGGGAGGGGGTGGGGGGGGGGGTAAGTGTTTTACTCAGCTGCATAAGGTCAATAAATATTTTCAATTGCTTGGAAATTTTGAATTTCGGCCGAGTGGCGGCCGAAGCCTACTCTTGTCAATTTTTTACCACCGAGGGATATTTAACTTGCGCAACTTACACACGGGACCTCCGAGATTTTTAGCCCTTGTCCGAGGAGGTTAGCTGTAGATCTGTTTTACCACAAGATCAGGGGTGTGGCTAAAAGACAGCAGTAAGAAGAAGCGAAGGAGTAGCAGTAGAAAGGCAGCAGAAAGAATCAGGAGCCCAGAGGAATGGGCAAAGGAGGTGAGGGGGTGGAGGCAGAAAGAGGAGATGAAAGCAAACGACAAAACATTGCTTGAGAGCAGGAAAGCAGGTGAAAGGAAACAATTTTAGAGAAGAAAATTTTTCGGTCGCTACCCGGATTCGAACACGGGACCTTTGAATGAGAGGCGAACACCTTAACCTCTTGGTCACGAGAACCCCCTCTGTTGTTTCTGTCTGTATGTCTTTTTTTTTTTTGTAAAGTGTTTTACTGCGCTCGCAAACTGCATAAGGTCATATGAGCACGCGGGACACACCTAATATTTTCAGTTGGTAGGAAATTTTGAACTTTGCCAGGGTGGCGGCCGAAGCCTACTCTTATCGATTTTAGACCACCAAGGGATCTTTAACGTGCGCAAACTTCGAGATTTTTCGCCCTTGTCCGAGAAGGCTAGTGTAGATCTTTCCGACCAGAAGATCAGAGGTGTAGCTAAAAGTCAGCAGTAAGAAGAAGCGAAGGAGTAGCAGTAGAAAGGCTGCAGAAAGAATCAGGAGCCCAGAGGAATGGGCAAAGGAGGTGAAAGGAGACAAATTTAGAGAAGAAAATTTTTCGGTCGCTACCCGGATTCGAACCCGGGACCTTTTGAATGAGAGGCCAACATCTTAACCTCTAGGCCACAAAAGCCCCCCTGTATGTCTGTCTGTCTTACCTTTTCCGGGCACTAAATGACCACATTATTGTGTCTATGCTATGTGCTTCTCTTAACCAATGGCGAAGCGTCTATATAACCAAGTAATCACTGCTTCCCTTCCTTATTTTGAAACATTGTTGCAGTCAAATTCACCCAAGGACGTAAACCTCATAAATTGAATTATGTATAAAGACGTTCATAATCACAAAGGAACAGTATGCGTAACATTCAAAACGGTTTCATTGCGCAGAAATAGCTTGTTCACCCCTCTCGGACCACTCCATAAGCAGTCGCAAGTTTTGATTAAGTAAGCTTACAGTGAGGCTGGAAGAGTCTACCAAAAGAGTTGAAGGGAACATGTATACGGCACTCAAAGCTGTTTCATTGTTAACCCCTTTCTGGAAACAGTTATAAGCAGTCACAAGCACTGATTATGTAAACTAACTATTACACCGGTCGAGTCTACCTCACAGATGTGAGGGGAACTAACTCCTAATAATATCTTGACTGCTGCGAGTTCTTGTTTTTTTCTTCGACTTTTTACCGTCCTATAATCAGATCGTGACCTCGATTATGACACCTGCTCCTGGCCGCGAAACGCTAGACTAATACAACCAAATGTGAAATTAAAAAAATTAATAATTGTCATGTTCTACCAAAGAGTTTAGACACACTGGTGTTACATGTAGAAATGACATCTCTGCTTCTTTGCTTTGTGTTTGTGTATTCACATCCAAAGATACATTAAAATTTAATATTTGTTTGAATAAATATTTTATGAGATACTTTTCCGATTACTTTAGCGGTTGAACATGCATACAACATGGGTTCAGGATTTGTTTTCATTCACAACTCAGTTGTGCCGCCTCGAGTAAGATTCTTGTGTGATATCTCCAGGCCCTATCTGGTCCCATCTCACTTTGATTATCCTGTCAAACAAGGCAGCCTTCGACCCTGCTCTTACCCCAAACTGAGCTGATATGTTTGTTCTTTACTGCTGTCTTTTCGTATATATAGCTTACGTATGGTTGTGAAAGTATTTCATAATGTGATTGAACAGACTTATCTTGTTTCTGTCAATGTTCTCTTGTGTGAATAACCATGTGATTGGTGTAAAGAGCTCAGAGCTTATAGTAGTATGAGAAAGAGCGCTATTTAAGGGGGTGGGGGGGGCTACACTCCCAAAGTCACGATTCGGCTCAAAATTGTGGAATTTGAGTTGTAGGCATTGTTAGCTTCCTCAGCCTCTCCTACATCTATTTCATGGCTTAGGAACCCCTAAAAGCCCTATTTTCCTCCATTTTTAAAACGCGATTTTTCTCTATACTTTTTTGAACAACTCCTCCATTTTTTTCCATTTTTTATGAAATTTTCACTGAATAAAGAGTAAATGTAATACTAAACATTTGTTTGTTGAATTTTTGATAAATGAATTAGTTTTTTTTGGTGGTGTCCGGAGTATGGATTTTTACGGAGTTTTCGCAAACTTAATAATTCTTAAAACATTGTCTAAATCGTTTAGGAAAATAACAACAGACATTTTTTTAGATCTAATGTTTGCTAACATGCATGGAAAAAAACTACCAATTTCCATGAAAAATAAGTGCGGTATTCATTACGTAAGACATGTCAACAAAATCCAATATGGCCGCCGTATCCATGGAAAAGAAACCTTTTTCTAAAATTTGATTTCGGATTTCAAAACTCCTAACTATGCTTGTTATAATGTGCGAAATTTGGTGAAATTTGGTACACTAATAAGCCAGATAACCTTCACGTGTAGACCTCCCCCCCCCCCCACCCCCCCCCCCCCCTCTCTTAAATGCAATCCATTATTATTATTATTATTATTATTATTATTATTATTATTATTATTATTATTATTATTATTATTATTATTATTATTATTATTATCATTGTAAACAAACAAAAGAATAGCGTGTGGCAGTGGCATGGGTTATAAAAATATTTTTGAAATAGTCTTGATCCAGTTAAGTTTTAAAGCGCTTCTTTAATCTGAACTTGCCACTGATTTTTCCAGTTTGTTTAACATTAATTTTTTTTAAAGTCTTTTCACATCATGCTTTATTAGATGGAAGTAAGTTATGAAAAACATTCAGGTGAAAAATACCCCCCCCCCCCCTAAAGGATGCGTTACCATGGTAATAATCGCCATATTGGATTTTTGTTTGTATCATTTATGTTCCTGAAATGTCCAAAAGTACTTTGGAAAATCGAATTTTATTTCAGTCGGACCAAATATCTTTTCTTGAACTAGTTATGCCTTTTCGATACAGCTAAGGTTAAAGGGGTGAGAGCAGGTTATTTAAATTCGATGTTCATCAATACAGGTGACTAATTTGCATATTTGAACACCTCTTCAAAGGAATGTTTTACAAAATCAGAGAACAATTTGTCATACTATCATTGGGCATCTATGAACAATAACCATGACAAGTTTCAGACATCTAGCTCAACAACAATTGGAAATTTTAGGATTATAAGAGGCTAAAGTTCGTGGAAAAGGAAAAATGAGAAAAAGAAGTCGATTCATGAAAAAAATTCATTTCTCCAACTTTTAGACCAAATTCAAGTTTCTAAATGCCCTTTTTGTTGTTTTGTTTTTTAGAGGTTAAACTAATTTTTGAACGGTAGATCAAAAATTCGGTATTTCCACTCCAATTTCGGAATTTTACTATGATGGAATCGGTAGCGAGTTTCCTTAAACTCCACCCTTCGGGTCAGTGGCGGTGGGTGGACCAAGATTTGGGTGGGGCTTAGGTTCCTTCCACTTCTTTACCACCAAAAAGCAAGAAGTAAGAACAAAACAGTGATGATTTTATTATTATCACGGCGAGCCACGGCAATTTGAGAACCATTCAAACGAGAAGAGTCACCTTTTGTCTTCCATCTCTTTGTTTTTAGTTAAATTTAAGCCCTTCTGGATGTAGGGGACGAAGCCGTTTCATTTTCAAATTTCTCTAATTAGTTTTTATCTGAAGAAAAAGTTGCCTCAAAAGTGGTTTGATGTAATTAATAACTGTAAATCTCAGCGGCACAAACACACAGTACTCCAAACACATACCGTCTATGAGATGGATTGAGTCGTGTTGTTGCGGAAAATGGAACCCGCCTAACAAAGGCCCAATGGGCGCATAGGTAACTGTGTCACTGGGGGAAAGTGTGTCGTAAACTTTCACCCCATTGTCAGGGCTGGGAGAGCGTGAGCCCTGTGTGCAGTGTTATTTTTTAAAAGTCTTCTACCTTTTTACAAGAAGAGTTTCATTAAAGACGGGCGTGGGAACCGGCTTATTCTTTCTGAGCCCTAACGACATTTGATTGGCTATTAGGTTACTATAGTTTTAAGCGGTGACAACAATGATTGGATAAACGGGCAAGCCGCCAAGCTGATAACTGTGTGTTCATTGCATGCGAATATAACGATTTCAACTGCTTATTTCGTTATTTAAAAAAAAAACTTTCTTTAACTAAGGGACAGAGTTGGCGGTCGATGAGGGTGGGGGTGAGGGGCTCAAGCCCGTAAGCCCTTCACTACCCACCGCCACTGCTTCGGGTGCATACTATATTGGTTTACTGCGATAACGTTCTCTAAGGTTATTTTGAGACAGCGACACCACCCTATTCCTACGTTTCAATTTAATCACCGTAGCCCTTCCCCCCTTTAAAAAAAACGAAAAAAAACGCACAGTTTAATTAATCACGTAGCCCTCCCCCTAAAACAAACAAAAATCCACAACCTCTCTCTATCTCTCTCTGTCTCTTTCTCTCTCTCTCTCTCTTTCTCTCGCTCTCTCTCACAAACACACACTCACATACACACATACACACACCCTCTCTCTCTCTCTCTTTCATTCAATTTCTCTCTAT